CAACACATGGAACTACTTCAGACATCGCCTTTCTCTTATGATCAAACTTTTCGATCATTGCATGTCTTTCATTGCCATTGTCTATATCCATAGAGGTCTTGAAGGCAGATTCACCAATCAACTTTGCTTTTCTATTGCGCCAAACCATTGTTGATTCAGCAGCAATAAGCATGTAGGTGAGATCTATAAGGGTCACGTCGTGGTTCATCATATAGTACTCTCTTACGAACTCACTATACGAGTTAGGAAGTGACTGAAGAACCCAATCAACAGCCATCGCTTCACCGACAACGGATCCCATCATTCTTAATCTATCAATGTGTGACTTCATCCCTAAGACGTGTGCACACACCGACTTGCCCTCTTTATGTTTACTTGCCAAAAGGGCTTGAGTGATATTGAACCTTTCAATTTTACAATCTTGTGGGTTAGGGAGAATAATTGGAGGAGGAGGAGGAAGTGAAGCATGATTTCTTGTTCCTCGATCGAATCGTGGAATATCATCTTCATGTGGAATGCTTGTTCCACGGGATTTGAGAAGACCATAGTTGTCGAACTTTGACATCGGGAGAAAAACGAATTCAAGTTAGTTGATTGATTGAGTCCTTGGTAAATCACCCAAATGAAATTCCAAGGCTAGGACCCAACACAATATCCTACAACTCGGGAGAGGGATGCCGTAACCCAAATTGCAGAACATTTGAAGGTAAGTGAATGACGATTCACTAATTTCCACCATGAAAAACGAAAAAGAAATTTAAGTTTTAAATCTATGAAAACTCCTAGATCCTTTGAGATTCATTGAACATTTCAATGGCATGTTTAAATCTCGATATGCCCCTCTTGTTTGTGACTGGGATGCCGAGGATCACAAAGCGGGTGTGAATAACCATGCAAACTACATGGTGCCCTCACATGTTACAATCACCTATTCGATGTGCCGGTAAACCACACACGCTCCACCGAACTATGACAAACATTGAGTCACCCTTTGCTACCTTTGCTTAGAACCATTTAGTGTGCCGGTAAACCACACACGCTCCACTAACGTCTTCGCAAGGGCACAAAGTGTAATTTCATGGAATTGCATCAATTCACTTTTGCCTAAGTAACTAAGATTGGGAATTTGAAAAACATTTAGTTACTTTGTATTTCATTATACTTATAATGGAAGGTTTCGTCCTATCCTACCCGTTCGGCTAACGACCCTCCACTAGTCAAGAGTGCGGTGGGTAAGAGTGGATACCCATTCAATCGCCATTTTATAGGCAATTTCCTTAAACACCCCTTATAGACCAGCTTCGTGAATGAGGCCTACTAACGGTAAGACTGACTTTTACTCATACATATATATAATGTTAGACTTTTAATGTTATATATAGTATAGGGTGTATTTTATACTTTTAAAATACTATATGGTTAACTTTAACAATTACACTTTTAATTCAATTAAAAGGTTAACCTAAACTTTTATGGATTTATTAAACCTCTTTTAATTATACTCCTTAATTAATTAATAAAACCATAAGGGTGTGATTTGAACTTTTCAAAACATTACTAGGGTTTTAGAATTTAACATTTCTAATTAAACCTTTTAATCAACTTTTAAATTCCAAAACTTGAGGGCAAGTTTTGAAACCTTTTTCAAAACATTAGGGTTTTAACTATTTAAATTTCAAAACTCAAAACTTTTGGGTTCAAATTTAAACTATAAAACCTAAAGGGGAAAATATGAAACTTTTCATAACAACAAGGATCAAATAACAAATAATTAAATTAACATTTAATACATAATTATCCATATTTGATTTATTTAATGATTTCTTGCAAAACAATTTATCAATTTACTCAAAATAATTAATCAATTATCTTATAAGGAAACAATTATCTTGTTAATTGATAATTATCTTTAATTAGATCAAGAATATAGTCATATATATCATAAAATCGGATTTATATTGATCTAACATGATAAGGTAACTATCCAATGCAAAAACAGCAAGAAATCCCGAGATAAGCATTATCTGACGCTCGAACTCGCCGAGTCACACTGTACTGCCGAGTTGAGGTCTACTCGCGAGTACACTGTGGACTCGCCGAGTTCCTCAGCCATAAAGCCCAAAAAACGATTTTCCAGTTATACAATGCATCAATACAATTGAAACCAAGCTAGGCTCTGATACCACTGATGGGTTTTGGTCATAAGACATCCTATGTGCTCATACAAACCCTAATGCTTGGATCTAGGTTTCTCTATTGTACATGCTTTGAATCCAAGACTATAAACCCTAATTCTAGCATCAAGTAATCATATTAACATGTAATTAGGTTTAAGATCATACCTTGATTGTTATGTAGCAATAACAATCCCAATTCTCCTTGTATTGACTTTGGAAGGCTTAGAGTCACAAGTGTCACTCCTCTAATGGCTTACAAACACCATAAGCAAATGGAGAAGGTATAAAGAGAGAGGTGAGAGGTTAGAATTCGTATCTAGGACCTCTTGGGAAGGGATACACGAATTCATGACCCTAGGGGTGTTTATATAGGTGTAGAGATAGGGTTTCAGTCATTATCCTTATCTAGTTGATTATCCATTAAGCAACCAACAAGATAATCCTTGAATCCTTATCATACTCGAATTCTAAGGCTTTCCAACCTTAAATTCGTCCACCATATAAATAAGATAATCCTTACCTTATTTTGTAACTATCACATAATTACAAATCAGCCCCTCTAGTTTAATTAATTGCATTTGATCACAAAACTAATTCTTAATTAATTATTGACCAATATTAATTAAACAAATATGATTTCTCCTTTAATATATTATTCTTATAACATATTAATAAATCATATTATCCTTTCTCTCTTTATTCATTTCTCCAATCAAGTTGTTTTGGTGAAGGCAACCCAAAAGGACCATGCACCATCGGGTCAAGTACATACCAAAATAGTTATGGACTTAGACACTAATCCAACAATTATATCATGCAATTCCTGAATATCCCTAGTCTAGCACTAGCATGTTGTTCTAACATATCACATAATCAAATAACTGTAGGGTATTTTGGGGTCTAGTTACTGTCTCCGACTGATCGTACACTTTGCATTCTCTTTTACTTATCTTGAAAACTATTTAAGAAATCATTTTGAAAATATTTCCTTGATTTGAGATTGGATTCACACGAATGTTCTTCCAATTCACTCAAACCAAGGCTCTGATACCAACTTGTAACATACATAAAAAAAATCATGTCAAATTTAAACTTTTAAAAACATTTCAAATCTATTAACCATTACAAAACTTGTTTCCAAAACGTATCATATCAGAGTATCCCAGAAACAAAGTCATAAAAGTGAGAAGCTGTACGATCATGCCTTTGCCTTGCCACAATCCTCTAATGTACATGAAACAATAAATAGAAACTGTAAGCCCGAAATTTTAGCGAGTTCCCCCACAATATCCATACCCACAACAATACATATATACTCATAGACAACATAATATGGGTCCAGTCAACCATCGGGTTGGAATACCCCAGGCCCACAACCAACATGTTGGAATGTCAATATACTATGAGTCCAATCATCCTCGGGATGGAATACGCACGACCCACAACCAACAGGTTGGAATGCCCAGGTCTACTGGCTTTCGCACAAAGCAGATAAGCCTTAACCGCCAAACAAACATGTGCACGTATAACAGATAATCACATAACAGTCTATAGACAACAACCGATCTAATGGATCATACCACAAAGAAGAAAATACCATCCTATCTACCAGGATATCGATCTAACAGATCATACCGCATACCATATAATATTATCCCACTCTCTAGGATACCGATCTAACAGATCATAACAACATATAACATCCTATCTACTAGGATACTAATATAACGGATCATAACATCACATTACATCCCATCTATCAGGATACTGATCTAACAGATCGTAACAACATAATATGACCAGTTAACAATCCAAAGGCCGACCTTTGTGCCTTAGACCCTTGAGTATAATGAGGATAACTCACCTGGCACTGTTGAAATCCTGCAGATAAACTTCTAGCTGCTGGTTGACAGATTCCCAAATTGTCAACATCAAACAATACCCAATTAATAATTGGGTTCCAAACCCAAGGTCCATCTCACACTCCAAAGACCTAAAAGTCAAGTAATGTGCCAAAGCCCAACATGTGGCCCAATTTTCCAAATTGGGCCCAGACCTCTACATGGTCTTCCCTTAAGGCTCGTTCAATTATTTTAGTCCAAACCATTGGTATTCCTATGGCCCAATATCACATAATCATAAAGGCCCAATTATGGTCCATCTATGACCCAATTTTCCAAGTTGGGCCCAAGTCTCTCACATGGTCCTTACCCTTAAGTCCGTATAATTATTTAGATCCATTTACTTGTTCTTGGATAGCCCATCTATAGTCCAATCACCAAAGCCCAAAAGAAAGCCCCAACTCACGACCCAAGTGAAAATAGGGTTTTCACATGAAAATACAATTAGGGTTAAGTGTTCCTACTTAACCCATTAAGGACTTAATCCATTAAGTCCAATATTGCTTTAAGTTAATTTGTAATTGATCATTAATTAATATTTTAAGTTTATTAATTAATTCATGTGCGGGTCCTGATAAATCCCCAAACTTAGGGTTTCATAACATTAGGGTTTTCCAAACCCTAATTTGGGTTTCCAACCCAATACTAGCCCATTAGTCAGTTGGTTGGGCTTTTAGGTCCGTTTGGCTTCATTGGGCACATTAGGGTTTCTTTGGGCCCATTATCGCCCAAGCATCCCAAACGAGTCCAAATCACAAACAAGGCACACCGCCACCAACACGACGTTCGGTGGTGGTTTGGGTTTTTCTTTTCATTATTTAATTTTTGTTACAATTTACAATGCAAATCTCAAAAACACACACACTAGGCTACACATACAACAATAAAATTATACACACACACACATACTATGGCTTGCGAAATGGACCTTGCCACCCACCTGGTGGCTCACAACAACGACATCGACAATACAAACGACAGCAATGGCGGCATAGCGGTGAATTACGGTGACAGCCACCACCTTACAGTGGTGGCGGCGATTCTCTTGATTCTAAGCCGGTCAACCACTCTCAAAACACGATCTGAAAGTTGCAACTCTCCCAACTCCGACACTATAGGTGGCAAATGACGACTGGAAACCCTAAAATGGCGGCCCAAAGCCCACCGTCGATTCCAGTAAACATACACGACATCATGCCACATAACGAATGAAGAATAAGATGTAGATGGTGGCGGTGGTCCTTACCGTGAGCTCCATATGCACTTACGTCTCACACAACGACGAATACAATTTGTTCCTTCGGTCTCGGCGGTTCTTTGGTGGTGAAACGGGGACGAGTGAAATGATGGTGACACAGCGACACTACCGATGACGATTGATCTCGACAAAGCAACTGGAGAAAGACAGTGAGAAGAAGGCGACCTTCTTGTGGTCGCTTGAGGTCGTCGTTGATCGGAACAAGGTGGAGCTCGGGTGATGACGGCGCCGGAGATGAAGGGGGTATAAGGTGGCGGCGGCTGGACGTGTTTATGGTTAGGGTTAGTGGGTGATGGGAATAGCACAGTTAAATACCCCACCCCATATGAATGTATCCCATAATGACCAAAATGGCCCCTCCTTCCTATACTTCTTTCAAAATAAATCCAATACTTACCATTTAACCCCTCCTTCAAAAGATCCTTACAATTCAAGTCCCGAAATTACCAATCACCCCCCTAAGCCTTCAATTCCTTTCAATTTAAGTTCCGAATTTACACTTTAACCTCCGAAAATCAAAATTATATCATTAGCTCCCCAAAACCAATACCCCACTAATTATTATTTGATTTTTGGACTATAATAATATAAGATAATAATAAGAACCACTTCTCGGGGTTCCAGAATTATTATTTAATCGCTATATTTTAAATGGGATGTTACATTTTTTATTGTTAAATGCATGATATTTTAATTTATTTTTTGAGTTTTATAAATAAGTAATATGTTGAATATGATTACAAAAATTATGTTGTTATGTTAAATGCATGGTATTTTCTCAAAACAGTTTGTCCATGTTTTATAAACAATTCAATATTTTTCTATGGTTTATTTTATTATTATTTTTTTGCAAATGAAAAAAATGAATTTACTATTTTATGTCTTTTATCATTTATCAATTTATCGTTTATCATTTTGTGTTGTGAGTAAAATTTTAAAGTTTTTATAGTTTTTGAACGAAAAACTGATAATTTGAGATATTTTTAATGTTTTAAAATAATTAGTTAAAATTATGTTTTATTTTGTAGGATCTTAAGACCTCGATCCCAATCTTGCAAGCCCAAAAACGATCCTAACTATAATCCGAAAACCTTGTATTGAACTATTAGATCATATGTATACATGCGTTTATAGATATAGACATTCATTCCTTTTGTAATCAGAGTTTTTTTGATAGTTAAATGCATGCTATTTGAATTTATTTTCTAGGGTTTTATAAATAAGGAATATGTTAAATATGATTACAAAAACTTTTAAATAAAATATAATAAACATAATATAGTTCAATATATATCGATGGATGGAAGACAAACGGGTAACAAGTTGTGTCGCTAGCCCTTTCTGGATGACAAAAATTATGTTGTTATGTTAAAAGCATTCTATTTTCTCAAAATAGTTTGTCCATGTTTTATAAATAATTCAACATTTCTCCATGTTTGTTTGTCTTGCAACTTGGCATAATAATAATCCATTAACTTTCAAATAAAAAACTTGGGTGTAAACTGTGGCAGAATTCTTATAAAATTCGAATCCAGAAAGTTCTTGGATTTGAGAAAGTTAAAAGTTTGGGTCCAATAGTGTAGAAATCTAACTTACGACATATTAAGGTCGAATTGCCAATCCATATGGATCAAATCCATCATGTTAACAAATAAAGGGACAATAAGTGTATACTGCTTAAAGTAGGCGTCATCACTGGAAACCAGTGGTCTGTTCATTCACTCGCAAACTTCTATCATCTCCAATGGCGACCTCTTCCCTCCGGTTTGCATTCTCCCCTCTTATTCATAGCCAAAACTCCTCCAAACTCTTGTTCTCAATCCCTAATTATCAAACCAAATCGATCAGAATCCTCGGTTTCTCCACCTCATCTCCTTCACCAGACACCACTCTCGAAACCCTAGCTCCTCCACCGCCGCCGAGCCATTCCGTCAATAACCTCAACCCATATAAATGGGAGCCTTACCGGAAGAAGAAGGTGGTGATGCGCGTCGGATACGTCGGCACCGATTACAGAGGTAACAACATTCAGTTCACCTTTACTCTCGATTTTGATTTTCCAATTTCCGTTTCTTTATTAAGTTTGGACTCGATTGCTCGGTTTTTCAACGGTGGTAAGTTTATGTGTGGGTTTTTGTTAGTGGGGATTTTGTTTTGGTACCTTACATCTGATACGGATTTTGATTGCAGGATTGCAGATGCAAAAAGATGACTCCATATCCAGTAAATGTTCTTCCTAATACTTGGCTTTCTTCTATCTTGTTAATTTTACAATTCAGCACCTCGTACTTTTGACTATGTCGCCACCCTATCCGCTTTTCATAATCATATGACAAGTACCCCCTTCGTCTAAAAGACCGTCAAAAGCTTAAAGCTTTTAAGAAGAGGATCTTATAAGAAATAATACTTATTTAATAAACATAAAAGGATACGTTATTGTATTTTAGTTTTCTTAAACACTCACTTAACACAAAAATTCCTATTAATAACATGTTATGCTTTTATGTTCATATCAAAATCAAAGTTATCATTTTATTTTATTTTAACCAAGTATTTTATATAAATTATTGATAATAACTGAGATCTAACATTTCCTTTAACCCTTCCTTCTTCCAATAGTTATTTCAACCACAATAGGATGTGATATCTTCCGATAGTTATTTTAACCACAATAGGATGTGATACAATGATGGCTGACCTTTATTTATTTGACTAAATGCTATGCAACATGTACATTTAAAATAAACATGTACATTTAAAATAAAATAATTAAAACATAAATAATGCGTTTAGCGGCTTTATGTCGACTTTTTATTAGATGCACTAAAGCAGACCTGACAATCGTGTCGTATTCGGGTTGGCGGATCAAAATATATCAACCAAAATACGACCTATTTAATTATAAATGTCACAGGTTGATGGGTTTGAAACATAAACTCATATATGATTCGCCAACCCACTTATTTATGCGGGTTTACATGTTGACTGGTTCGTGGGTTAGATTTGGATTCGTGTGTTTGTGGATCAGATTCCATAAATAAAATTGATAATTAAACATGAATAAATTCTTGATGCAAATATATTCGAATTTTGGAAACTTAAGTCTTGAATATCAAAATGAAAATTAAAAACATTCCTGGAACCATATTCAAACTAAAACTTTAATACAAATATAGATAAATTCAATTACAGGCGTCGACATCGTTCGATAATGAATCAATCGTTCATACCGTCATTCTTGTGAGATACCGAGATTATTTAGGGCAAATGCTAAACATGTTGTAATGCAAATCAACAAATGGTTACCCACTGGTCAAATGATCAATGATATTGGGTATTATATCTTAGTATAAAGTATAAACTGTATGTCGTATAAGAGAAATTAAATAGCATTCTACTTTTTGTTCCTATTATCCTCCTACCTATTTTAGATGGTGACAAGTGTCATTAAATTTAATTGAGATTCTAAATTTGTACACTTGTCATCATCTTAAACAGGTATGAAGAAATTTAATTTCTCACTGTATAATACTTAATATATTTAAAAAATATATAAATTTTTTAAATAAAATTCTAAACAGGTTGGCGGGTCAACCCGTATATTTTTTTAAGAAACTCATATATGAGTTGTTTAATAAACGGGTTGACGGGTCGACAAACTCAACCAAACCTGTTTATTTCGTGTCGTGTAGAAAATTGTCGGGTCTAATTAAAGTGTCTAATTATCATTGGTAGCAAAGTTTTTGAGCTCTTCGTATACTTGTTTGATTGATTTGAGTTAGATCTAATTGAGTTAAGGAATGACCCAACTTCTTACCAAATGTAATAAAAAACATATCAAAGTTATATGATACGGAATCAAAAACTTTAAATTATTGTATCAAACGGTTTGAATCTAACCGAGTAAGACCCAACATCTTACCAGACACAATAAAAAAATACCAGATAACCACTTAGGCTATCAATCTAAACGATTAAGACTAAACATCTTTCCAGACCAATAATCAAATAACCACTTAAACTATCTGTTATATCAGTTTTGCGACCCTTTCTCTCTTTTCACCTTGTACATTGTGTATTCTTTTCACCTTGTACATTGTGTATTAGTAGTTGTAAGTTGTTTTTGAATGATGAAAAATTAATATACCATAGTTTGAACTATCAATGAGAAAGATGTGACACTAAGTAATAGTGAAAGATAAAAGACACATATAAGGATATAAACTTGATTTGCAAATTTATAAGTTATTATAATATTGAAAGTAACTATTTATCAGTTATATTATATTAACCATTTATTTTGATTTTAGTTAAATAATTTGAAAATATAAACTTTTTATGACATTTGATATCGATGATAGCTCCATAATTGGAATAAATAAAATTGAGTAGACTTTGATACTAGAAAAAGGTGAGTATTTAAAAACATAATTAGAATAAATTTGGTGGTTATCATTCTTTGTCAAAAATATAAATCTAAGAGAAAATGATAAAAATAGCCATTTACACTAATTACATTACAAAAATAGCAAAAAAAAAATCGAAATTACAAAAATGGCCACCCATTTCGTAGATGAGAAGGTCCCATCTGCGAAATGAGCTTCTCATCTGCGAAAATACAAGTACCTAAAGCACAGTTGTGCTTTAGGTACTTGTACTTTCGCAGATGAGATTTTTTTTTTTTTTTTTTTAATATTTTTTCTGTATATATAAGGTTAATTTCGCAGATGGAATAGGTGCATCTGCGAAATCCTCTCAGCCTATCTATGAAATGGTGTATTTTTTTTGTATTTTTGTATATTTTTTTTTAAGTTTGACTATGAAATGAATTGGTTTGACTACGAAATCATGTTGCTATATAAAAACTTTTGTAGCAAAAATATCATTTTGGTTGTTATTTGTTTAGGAACATGATTTCGTAGTCAAACCAATTCATTTCATAGTCAAACTTAAAAAAAAAAATACAAAAAAATACACCATTTCATATAGATAGGCTGAGAGGATTTCGCAGATGGACCTATTCCATCTGCGAAATTAACCCTATATATACAGAAAAAATATTTAAAAAGAAAAATTCTCATCTGCGAAAGTATAAGTACCTAAAGCACAACTGTGCTTTAGGTACTTGTACTTTCGCAGATGAGAAGCCCATTTCGCAGATGAGATTTTATCATCTGCGAAATAGGTGACGATTTTTGTAATTTCGAATTTTTTTTGGTTATTTTTGTAATGAAATTAATGTAAATGATTATTTTTGGCATTTTCTCTAAATTTAATTATATACTTCTACTGTTCTATCTTTTTGGAAAGCGTATATTCACATGCTTTCCCAAAACCTATTCGATTCAAATAATGAGTAGTGTATGGAAATAGTGTGTGTGTGGATGTGACAGACTGACAAACCCGATCTAAGTGTGTGAATTACGACACGGAGGATGATGATGTTGCATCCGGCAACCGAATTGCTTCCGCCACCCTCATCGCCGACGATCTCTTCAATTTCATCTTCTGATTTCGACACCGAATCAACTGGGTCGTTTTTCCATGACCGTAGCACCACCTTAGGAACTCTAATGGGCGTGACGTCGGCGTTTCCCACCATCACATTCAGAACCCCCTCCCAGCGTCGAGACCGCACGCCCACTATAACGCTCGGATCAACTCCTAACAGTAGAAGCTTCGTAGGACGACGGAGGAGGAACAATGACACGACGACGGACTTGGCGGCGGAAAGGCGTCGGAAGAGGGTGAAAAGAAGGAACTGGTGGTGGTTGTGCAGCGGCGTGGCTACCAAACCTTCTTCACTTGGGGAGTTTCTGGAAGTTGAACGGAGGTTTGGGGTGGAGGCACTCTTCGATTGTGATGCTCTGATGGATTTGAATTTGGATGATAATCGCAACAATGATGGCCGGATGTTATTTGCTAATGGGAGAGTCTTACCACCACCAACACTTCCCTCCGATGTTGATGAACGGAGTGCCTCTTCTCTTTGTAGGTTTCCCGTTTTTCTGACCGGAATCTGCCGCGGTGGTGGTTAACGTCGGGAACTTGGAAATTGGGATACCAAATTCGTCCAATTGTATGCAAATCTGACATTGTAACCATCTAAATTGTTGAAATAAAATGACCGAACACATATAATCTTGGCTTTCTGAAAAGTAGTTGGTTGCTCTTTACTCATAAGTGCTCTTTAGCTAAGTATTATTACCATTTGTATGATATAGCTGTGGAGAAAGAGCTGGAAACAGCCATTTATAAAGCAGGTGGGATTCGCGACAGTAACTTGGGGGATTTGCAAAAGATAGCATGGGCTAGAAGTAGCCGAACTGATAAAGGAGTAAGTTTATTGACTTATTCTTATATTTTGTCTTCTTTTATTAATTAATACACTACAACTACAATTTGTTTTTGGTGATTTCAGGTTCATTCTTTATCAACTATGATATCCCTTAAAATGGAAATCCCTGAATACGCCTGGACTGGTGACCCCAATGGGGTGGCACTTGCAAATCTTGTCAATACATATCTTCCCAAAAATATCAGAGTTTTCAGCATTCTACCTTCACAAAGGTCAGAAATATATGATTCTACCTTTGTAAAAAGTTAGGACTTAAGGGGCTTTTTGGTGACTATGTTTTCAGGAGTTTTGATGCTAGAAGGGAATGTAATATCCGGAAATATAGTTACCTCCTTCCTGTTGAAGTCATTGGGGTCACTAGTAACTTAAGCACATCAGAAATCGAACATCACTTATCAGACTTCAATACTATACTTAATTCTTTTGAGGTATACTTTCACTTTTTCATCCACTCCTATGTTTACACAATTTGGTATGATATTTAATGGATTCCCAACTGGGTTATTTCAGGGAGAGCATCCTTTCCATAACTATACAATCCGAAAAAATTATAGAAAAAAGTATTCTGCAAAACGATCTCCAAACAGTGGGCGTATCGCCGATAGAAGGGCAAAATCGTCAATTGAGCCACCCCAAGCCATTCTTGAGAAAAACGATGAGGAAGAATCATCTGATGGAGAAGAAGCTCTTGAGACAGATGAAACGATTGATGAATCAGATGCAAATGGGGATACTTTGAAGGATGTACCTATTCCCATTCTTGCTAAATGGCTACATGAACCTGATGATAAGGATAGAATAAGCGCTTCCCATTTCAGAAGAATTTTCCAATGTTCATGTGGAAAATTGGAACAATTATTCGGAGCAAGATATGTTGAGATCTCGATTTGTGGGGAATCATTCATGCTGCATCAAGTGAGTGAATCGTTTCTCATGTAAAACAAATTTAAATAAAAAATAATTAACATTGTTAGTTATATTCAGATCCGCAAAATGGTGGGGACAGCTGTTGCAGTGAAGCGTGGGCTGCTTCGAAAAGACATAATTATCCTTTCACTGAACAAATTCTCTCGTATTGTGGTACCCATTGCTCCATCTGAAGTATTGTTTTTAAGATCGAACAATTTCTCGA